CGACACTGATTCGCATGAGCCGAGTGTTTCATTGTGTACGCATCCATTAAGCATTCTATTTGACTTGACCCTACGTACAAGTCACGCGAATCCGCATGCGTCCTTTTTCTTTCTCCGTTTCGACTAATCTACATAAATTAAGTTTCCGGACGTTTTGCTCGTGTTCTCTCGTTAACCGCACCGTGCGAGAATGAGTTGACAGATTTTCAACGAACTTGGAGAACGTCTGATTTTAAATTCAATAAGTTTGAGGGCTTGAATTGCGTAAAATTCTTTTAAAAGTAAGTAGGTACATGAATCCTTTCTTTAAAAAAGGTATATTAACCGAGTGAAATTTATTTTAATTCAAGTATTGAGATCTCTTTTCTGCGATGCTGGTTGGTTGTCTCGAAGTTTGCTTTGCGGCTTGAATCACAATCAATCGTTTGACAGTTTTACAGTTTACGGTTAAATTTAATATTATTTTAATTTGCTGAGTACTTAGTATGCACATAATTTTGTTTATGTAATCGAATTTTTATTATGTATATGATTTTAATTCATCGAAATTAATATTAGGAAAAATAAAACCAATCTGAGGAAAAATAATACTAATATTAGGAAAAATTTCGTTCATTTTCTGAGAACGGATAATTTATAACACGCAGTTAATTTTCTCTTAAAATTTACCTTGAAAATCATGGTAATCGTGGGATAATATAGTATTGGAAGAATTTTATAAGAGTTGCTCTCTGATTAATATTAACACCACAAAAAATAAAAAATAAGAATATCCATAATAAGATATAAAATATAATCGATTAATTTTACTATGTACATGGTGTATTGTTTCATGATTTCCTTGATTTTAAGGGTAAATTTTAAAAGAAAATTCGTGTGAAATAAATTGTTTGATGATAAAAAACTTTTATCTTTCAAGAGAAATTGAGAAACTTTCTGTGAGTGAGAACTTCTCTCCTACACTGTATCTAAATCTAAATCTAATATCTATAGGTAGATGCTTAACGGCATCGGTTGACAGCAGGCTTCTTTTTTTTCTCTCCCTATATTGTGATGCTGCGCACCCTCGTAACGTTCCTCGTACGTTCGCCCCTGCCATATCTGCCGGCACTCTCTTTGTTTCGCTCTTCGTCGCGCACATACTTGGTCGGTTTGTTCTTTTTTCCTCCTTGACGGCTCGCAGCCTCCGAAATGAACTGCACGAGGAGGAGGCTCGTGTTAAGGGTAAACGCGCGTAGAGGCATCTCTCTGACACTCCTCCCTCTCATCCATTAATAATAGCTTTAGAAATCCGTGCCTTTCTAACAGTCTCACGTCAAAACTAACACGGGGACCTGCCCCCAGCTTTAAGCCACGCTACTAGCCTCTCAATTTATTCCCTGCATCACGAATTAGATTGTGTTGTGTGCGCTCCTCCCTCATTTACTTAACGAAATCGGACTGAACTGCTTTAGAATCTGATATTTGTAAAACCACCTGGAGAATTTATACAGTTCTATGCAAACGAGTCACTACTATAGAGCATCAATCTGATTTTTGTATTCATCTTTGAATACATTTCCTTCGCGTTTCGCAAACATGTTAAAATTTAAATGAGCAAAGTAAAATTAGATTCATGTTTAGTATCGTTTTAATGTATTATATTTTTATACGAGTTTTATCGATGTATTTTTAATAACGCGCGAAAATCTAGAATATCACTCACAATCAGTATATTTTTCACAAATATATGTAAAGATTGATATAAACTATGAAGTCACCAGATGATAATTAAAAAATTATAGTAATTCAATCGACCAATTCTGGCAAATAATTAAATTTATTGTATTTTCACAACGTTTCGGCCGTGGGTTTCGGCCCTTATCAAGTGCTATGTTCTTAAATCACAACTTTTTTAAAAAACAAAAATAACTTTAGTTATTTCGTATTATACTATCATGTTATTATATAATGTCATATTTTAAGATCGAATTTTTGTTTTTAAAAAAAGTTGTGATTTAAGAACATAGCACTTGATAACGGCCGAAACGTTGTGAAAATACAATAAATTTAATTATTTGCCAGAATTGGTCGATTGAATTACTACCATTTTTTAATATGTAAAGATGTTACAGATGTAACTAGCGATATTCTGTGACGATTGTGATAAACTGAGAAATTGCTGAGGTCTGTCAGAAATTTTAGCGTGTATTTGTGGGATCAAATATATATACGAAGCCGGATTCCTCGTCTCGCGTAAAGAGGAATTTGTAGCAAAACAAGTTTCAAGATGAACAGGACGCGCTCAAATTATATATGGCGCAGCAGTTACTACTGAGAAGGCTATCTAATCAGGAAAGATAAAATAACGTTTAAATTAGCACGTAAGACCGATCCGATTTCATTCGACAATATACCGGATAGCATTCCTATGTTGATACTTTCGTAATTAATACCATTATCTAAGTATAACATCTCCTTTAACCGGATGGTCAACACATTATTGACGATTATGTGTTTAGCGATAAATTTAATTAATGATAAAATAGAAACTAATTACTATATAATTTTTCTAATTTTTTCATCTTAATAGCTTGACATGAAAAACTTTAATTAAATTCATAATTTTTATCGCCAGTTTTTATTTAGAATTTTAATTTCGTAATTATCTTAAAAGATGATTCTAAATTGCAAAAATTATATTGAAATTATATATAATTATCGAAATATCTTCTAATTCATACATAAATTGCTATTATAATTATTATATTTTGCAAACAATGTATTTTTAGCTTGGAAAACTGGCATTAAATGTACAAATAAAGACATTAGTATGTATGAGAAAGGGATATATATATATATATATAAAATTTAATTAAGTTTTGAAAATTTGGAGCTAATGGTCGATCGTAAAATGAATCTAAGCGGATCGCAGTAAATGCAATATCGTTATCGAGGACAATCACGAAAACCGATGTCACCAGATTATACCGTTCTCTCGGATGCCCTTCTGCATCGAGAAGGAAAAAGGATGAGAGGACGTAACGAGTCTTCGATCGCCGCTTCCGGTTACATAGTGATCATCGCGCGCTTGGTGTCCGCCGCCGTCGAGGAATGGAGAGGGAAAAGTTAAAACGAATCTCTCCTAATTGCCGTCCCCTTGTTCGGTCTCTCGGGTCCGGTGTTGTTTGTCACCGACGATCCTCCTGTCTCCTTCTCTCCGACGTCGAGAGTGAAAGATCGAGCGGACGCACCGAAACGATAAGGACGCTGATAGAGCTCCATAAAGAAAAGAAGAGATCGAGAAAAGTCGAGGGATAGAATGCGAGAGATAAGGATGGAAGGGTCGAGGGAGAGAGAAGGAGACAGCGAATCGACGAGGATGGAAACGAGAGAAAGAGAGAGAGAGGAATGAGAGAAAAGGGACAGTTCATACGAAAGAGTGCAAGATCGGAGCGAGACGGACGATTAAATTAAAGGCGGGAAAGAGGAGAACGAATGAGGGCAGGGCTAAGGGAGCGAGCGAGAGAACCTCGCCTTTGTCTCGTCGTGAAGAGTCTGCTTCGTGGTGAAGGAGTGCTTCTTCTCCGCGGCTTCTTTTCTCCTCTAGGCCAGATCTCGCCTTGTAGCCTTCGAGAAAAGACGACGAGAGGACGGAGGACGCCTGTGCGGAACCCTAGTCTTCTCCCTAGCTGTCGGCCAACGCCGGAAATTGACACCCGAGCTCCCCTGCTTTTCTGTCCGACCGAATTTCTTTTCTTTCGCACATCTGTCTCTTTCCGCATTTTTATTCGCGAAGACACTTCCTTTTTTTACGCGAGTTATTTATGACAAAATATACCCTACACTTTGTCTTATCTAACGGTAAAACATTAGTACGCACTCTGTATGATGAGATTTCTTAACGCGCTCCTATATTTTGTTTAACGAATAAAGTGTGCGCGTGTAAAAATTATATTTATTAATAAGGAAACATATTACTGAGTAATAAGAATTAATTATTACGTACTTGATGATAAGTTTTCCAGAATTGGCTAACGCCTGCTTAATAAGCTTTCATTATCGCTTGGATATATTTAATTGGTAATTTATAGTATCTGTCGTATATATATCATTTTTGTCACCGACTTCTTTTAAATCGCTTATTTCTATCAATAATATTCAAGTCAAGAAGAAATATTTATTTTATAGAACAATAATTTTTTTAAAAGAAGCTATTAGCATGATAGAGTGACAGAAGTGCAGCATATTTAATTATAGATGTACTATAAATTTTTTATACACTGAAAAAAAGGATTAAATTAATAGATATTTATAAAATGCTGTTTTATAAATCATTTATTTGAAACAATAAATATTTATCCGATTTGAGAAGGATATTTTTATATCAAATAGGTATATTTTTGAAAAACAAATCAATATTATTAGTTTCAAATAGAAGATTAAAGTATTGATATTTATTCGAATTCCATAAATTTTTTTCAGTGTAGAAGTTTCCTAAATAAAATATCTTTTAAGCCAATTTGAATAGCAAGCATTTATAACAATTTATCACAGCTATTTCATTTCAGCTGCAATATTAAATTAATAAAAATATGTCACACACTTTTAATTCGTGAAATACAATAAGATTTCCCAACTAACCCTTTCTGAAAATTCAAACTGTGCATATTTATCACAGCTATATCATTTCAGCTGCAATATTAAATTAATAAGAGATTAAGAGATATGTCACACACTTTTAATTCGTGAAAAATACAATAAGATTTCCCAACTAAGCCTTTCCGAAAATTCAAGCTGTGCATATATAAAAGCTTCGATCGCGTAATATGCAAACGATGCAATGCGTGCGACGATCGATTGATCGCGAGAATCCCGAAATTTGTCCGCAATGCGAGGCAATTGTGTCACGTCAGTCACGTGGCGCCGCGAGCACGTGTCGACGTCCCTGGCGCGAGTCGACGGAGCGGCGGAGACGGCCGAGCGCGGCCGAGCAGTTCCGATCTCGGCGGAGGCTCCGTCGTAGCCATGTGTTGCGGTTCGTCGTGAGTGCTTTGTGACAAGAAGGGAGGCACGTTTGTCTCTCTGTGCGTCCTTTTCTCGTCCGTCTCGCGCGCGTCTCGCGACAAAATTCGCGCACGATTCTCACGTCTCTCGAGACGAGGAGCGAGCGAGCGAGGATAAGAGAGGCGTCGCGACGCGAAACCAAAACCGGGCGAGATTCGATTCGACGCGGCGCGGCGTCCGCTCCATTGCGCGGACGGCACCGTAGACGAAAACCACCGGGTGTGTCCCGCTCTCGCGCAAGAGAACGACCGACCGAAACGGAGAAAAGTGCATGCGTGCATGTGGTGTGAGAGAAAGTGCGTGTGTTTCTTCCTCGCGACGACGACGGCGACGACGACAGTGGCGGTGTCAATGACGACGAAAACGGCGACGAGCAGGAAGGAGTTAGCTCGCGACTTTGATTCTGCGTAAACCTCGGCATCGTTTTTTCGCGTGTGAGTGTTCGTTCCGGAAGAAACGAGGAGGAAGAGGTGGCGGGTTGGTAGCAGTGTCGGTTCCACGAAGAGCGACGAAGAGAGAGGAAAGGAAAGAGGGAGAGAGATAGCGCAGCAGCCCGGGCGACCCGTCCGTGGGATCGAGAGAGAGAGAGAAAGAACGAACGCAACCGTGCGAGCGTAGAAAGCGCACCGTGCAGAGAGAACAGGGAGAGAGCCAGACAAAGATAGAAGATGAAAGAGAAGGCGATAAAAAGTGTTGATCGTAGGTGCACTCGCCGGGTTCTAAAGACGCGGTACGGGCGCGTTTGTGTGTAGTACGTGTGTTTGTTTATGTGCGGCGCGACATTCGCGAGTCGACCGGAACGGGCGAACTTCAGGGCGTACTCGGGAGAGCCGCGGATAAACATCGTCGTTGCACGCGCGCCGATTCCTTCGTTTCCGTTTAGAGTCGCGGCGTCGCGAGTGCTCGCGAGTGCTCGTGTACGTTTCTGCCGGGCGTAAACGACGACGGAGAAGTGGTGTGCGCGATTATACACACATACACGACGAAGGAAAGGGAGCACCGAGAGAGAGAGAGAGAGAAGGCGTTCGACGAAGAGTGGCGCCACGAGAGAGGAACTCTCACGAGCAAACGGCCGAAAAAAAGGATCGGATTCACGGTGTAAATAACGAGACGACTTCGCGGTTGCCTTCGATCGGGGTGTATCCGTCGCGGCGCCGAGAACAACGAGTCCGGGACGAGTTCCTTTGCGGCGGCAGTGCCTGTGTATGTGTATATGTGTGTGTACGTGTGTGTACGTGCGTGAGAACAGGGTCGCGAGGTGAAGCTCGCAGCCAGCGGCAGCAGCGGCGACGGACGGTTGGATTATAAGCGACGAGAGGAAATATACGCGTATATCGGAAGGATTATATATATATATATATATATATTTACGGAGGAAAGTACTCTGGGCGAAGCCCTGCAGAGAGAGGGTCGCCGGTCATCGCGTTCGTGTGGATGTGTGTGTGTATACGTCTGCCTCACTAATACGTCGAGCACGCCAAGTAGTAAGTCCTTATCTTTTTTTTTTCAATTTACAAGACGCTGAAAAGCTACGTTTTAACCCAGGGATTCCACGACATATTTCGAGAGCGATTCTCTTCCTCGGTGAATGTTTCGTCGTGCGCCATCTTTGTTTACAGCATCTTAATTTTGAACTTTTTATACTGTGTATATATAAGTAATTTGTATGTTGCATTAAAATTCCATTTATCTAAAAGTCACGGGAAATAAGGATTTTTTGTATATTTTTTCTCTGAGGATTTTCATTATAATAATATTTATTCAGAAAAAAATTACGTTCTTCTAGTCTATGATTAAGTTTATAATTTTCTCATCTTTGAATTCCTAAGTTTGTAGCTTTTCAGCAGTCTGTGTATCTATATGTATACATCTATAAATATACATATGTGAGTATAGGCGCCTCCTGTCTCACTTATACACATGTCTATATAAGCTATATAAGCGACTTTTGATGCTCCTGTCTATATAAGCTATATAAGCATCTTTTGATGCTCCAATATTTTATGGTTTGGTATATATTGACATATTGATTATTAAATAAGCTTGAGAGACAATAGATATCGACATTTTATATATATATATAATACAACAAAAACTGAGATATTTTTTATAGTTAAATCTTGATGTATTTATTTTAATATATATATGATACATAAGTTTCAAAAATGATATAATCACTTATCAAAACGTTAATACAATAGCTCTGTTTTGAATTGTAATTGTGGAACAATATGGTATTGGATGAATTTTATGAGTTTCTCTGATTAATCTTTTTTATACCAATAAAAAATTTATATTAATATGTATATAATAAAATATTAATCAATCATATGTTACATCTTATTATGATAGATATTAATATTTTTATTCTGGTAAATATTAATCAGAGAAATTCTTAAAATTTTTCCAATACCATATTGTTCCACGATTACCATAATTTTCAGGATAAAGTTTGAGAGAAAATCTGTGTAGAATACATTGGAGTACAATTTGACATTTGATTATTATTATCATATTTAATACGTACATTATATAGAATATGTATATAAAATATTCATCATTAATATATATAGAAATAAATTCATAAAGAATATCGAATGAACTAATTTTTCAAATCGTGCGAATTAAATATACACCTACAGAGTGATATGGGGATATATTGAAAGCTATAAATATTCTTTCCACTGAAAGAACAATACGTTATTGTTCGAAGGTATTATTTATCGACATTTGTAATTTCTATTTATGTGCTCTACAATTTGCATATATAATATTTATATAGAAATATGTCTTTCTCCCTTTAAAGAAATTTCCGCGAAAATGATTTTAATTGCGATCCACCACACACGCACACACACACAGACACACACACCCACGTGTGTAATATACGTTCAGAGCTATAATTATCTCAAGTGTGATTTAATCGCATTGATTTGTCGGTGAATCGACCGAAAAGCGAGCGTTCGTGATAGATGAAAACCCGTTTACATGTATTGCCTAAAAATTGCTGTTAACCATTGCGGGCTCTCGGATTCCTGTCGGATAACAGTTTGCGTTGCGCGAGCGCGCGCGGGGCTCTCTCGTGAAAAGGTTATTTCAACAAACTCGATTCTCTCTCCGCGAAGTCCTGGTATCGCGTGAGAGTGTGGTCTACGTGTAGTCACATCCGTACACGCATATATGTATATATATGTGCGTACATGTACATGTGTGCGGACGACCACCGGCCGCATGTGTCTCTCGCGGGCAAACGCGAACACGATAGTCACGCCTGCCGCAGGCACGCACACACGCACATCACACGCATACATGTACAATCGGACCTATAACACATATATTCGAACGTAGAAAGGGCCATCGCAAGAGTTTCGCATATTCGAGACCGATAGAATCGAGACGTGAGAATACAAGAATCGGTATAAGAAACGAAAAATAAATGTGCGAATATACAATATATACGGTTGATTGATATCAATGTGCAGTATCGATGCTTTTGTATATCTGATATGGGAAATGTATGGTTATTCGCGATATCTAGCCGAGAGACGCGAATAATTTTTTTTCCAATATATATATTCCCTCGTGCGTTGTTCGATTTTCTCTGTTGCAAAGTTGGAGTATCCTTGGCGCCGGCACTTCATCTTTGATATCGACGCTTGACGGTAACTCGAATGGAAAATGAAAAACATACGGAATATAATCGAGTATAAATTCGCCCGATAAAAAGTGATTTACAGCGATAACGAAATAACGGAGCGAATAATCGGACATTCGGCGTTAACAATTCTCCATCAGCGTGAATGTTCGTCTGTCGCGCTTGCATTCGAGCACGCGTATAAAAAAAAACACGTACATGCACGCATATACTGCGTATAACGCACGAGTCTCGCTCGAGGCGACAACGAGAATTCATTCAAGGCGGAACTTGCATTGCGCTCGCTCGCACGCGCTCGCACTCTTGTGTCGCGAGCGAAAACACGGCGCGTAGGTAGGTTACTCACGCGTGTCGCCGTCCGGCTGCGTGGGAGCGGTACTTTGTGCATGCAATCCTCGCGTCAAATATCGCGTCGGATATCGAGAATGGAAAGATGCTCTTCCTTGAATAAACTTCACTCTTGAAAGAGAAGCAAAGCTCGCATGCGCACTCCATTTTCTTTTGTATCAAGAAGTGTATTCTTACTCTGTATATATATTATTGTGTACGTAAGAGATATAAAATTATGTACACATGGCACAAAACAAACAAGTATTATTTTCAAGTTAATTTGGAAATTAAAAATCGAGACAACTTTTTTTTCGTTAGGGAAATTTAATCGTCTCTCCGAGATATTATTAATATATTTTTTAAGTAATGAATATTTCTTTGACATATTAGTCTTATAATATTAATTTTGTTAAGGAGCGAAATTCAGATAAAATGGAATTAGATAAAGTTTTTATATATATGCTGTCGGTATTTCTATAAATCGGAAAATAATTTTTTATTTTGATGGTTATATAAATGATTATCATAATTTATATTTTTGTGTAAAATATTTCTTGAATATATTCAAGAATGATTGAATATATTGAAATATAAATCTCTCTTTGAAATTGACAGGACTAAATTGGTAGAATGAAATTGGATAGAATATTTAATACTTATTTTGTACTAATTTGTACTCGGAAAGATAATATTGTATTTTATCCCATTAAAAAAAAACCGTGACGCTATTAACTTTATATTAAGCTAAAAAAATTAAGAACGCCCATTAATTACATAATGTTATTCCTACACGCAGTAAATAAACAACTTGTATGCATTAATAATATAGAAATAACGTTATGATTAATGGGTGCTTTTAATTTTATAACGTTTTATTGTGTATTAAGAAATTTCTGTGTAATCTTGTTTTGCTCTTTTTTTCGTTTTAAATCGATTGTGCCAGTGTAACATTAAATTAGCAAACTTAATTTATGATTTGTGCCACGCTTTTTTCCTTTTTCTGGATGAAATTACGTTTAACATTACAAATTAATACTATTATTTAATCTTTTCCATTTCTAATCTTATTTTTTCTCGTTTTATTTTGATTTAATCCCGCCAGCTGAAATTAGTAGCAGTATTTTTGAAATGGGACAGAGTATCAAATCATCATCACTAATACAAATTAATGCAAAATAAGAACTAAATATTGGATGAATTTAATTCAACCGATTTGATCCTATACAAGTTTCAAAGAGATAAAAATATACTTGCCTTAAATATTTACTAAATTAGCAATCCGTCTCTATCAGTTTCCATTAAGTTGTCGAAATTTGATACAAGGGATAATGCCAACGGATATATTAACTCGATATCATCAAATACATGATTAATCAATGCTGTATAATTCGTTCCCAAAATACACGTGTACACGATATACGCAGGCAGGTATTGAGACCCATTCACGCACGTCGTAACGCAATAACGTCGTATCGGTGTGCGAACTCTTTTTTTTCTCTCTTTCCTTTTAACACAGAGGCGGCATTCACGCGCGATGCGTCAATCTGATACGCGCGCAATGAGATACGCGTCTGGGATATTGTGCACGTAATATTCCGCCTCGGCTTCTCTTCACGAGCCGACTGGCCGCTTATAAACGCGAGCCGAATTGCCTCGGCGGAGAGAATTGCTGAGGAATATTAAAACATTCCTGCCACGATTAACAGTATTAACTTCGCAGCAGTAACGTTTACTTTGTGCCTTTACATTTTAAATGCCATTCGTTACTATTTCGCTGCTTGTAATCCATGTATCTGCATCTGTGCGCCATTTCTCGGTTTACTAAATCCAATAACGCGAGAAAACTCTTCCCATATAAATCACAGTTTGCGCACAGAGAATCCCCTTCGTCACGGTTATTCTCATATTATTATTTTAGTGATGAAAATACTCGGATACCCGAGAATGTCTCTGGCTTTTACCTGAATATATTATACTTGAATATTTTGGATATTATTCAAGTAATACTCAGACAATACCTGTGAAATCGGATAAGTGTCGAGTATCTGACTACAAAGACCATTTGCTATAACAGTACTATATCATCCATTCCTCATATATATACATACACAATCAATAAATTAATCTTAAAGAGAGAGAGAGAGAATTTTTAATAAGTTATAATATATATTCAAATTATAAGAAATATTTTTCTTTCTATTTACATTCACGACGAGTCTTGATGTTTAACTAAAAGTATATATCGCGTATGCATACGAGAAATTCTTAATGTTGGGAATATCCTGCTGCCTCGAGAGAGAGAGAAGTACAACGACCGCACGAGGGTCACGTGTACAATTTAAACCTGCGACTGCCGGCACTATCGATTAACGTAGCCGCTAATGCTACTATACGCAGTAGCTATTAATGCGCGACGACCGACTATGCGTTCGATACAACGTTATTACGCGTTTTATATGAACGATTTTATAGACTATTTATAATTGAGCGGAATGCACG